CAAACCTCAGGTCTAGCTCATGGGAGGTGGACAGAACACCTGTAGGGGCCAGGCGGCCTGCTAGAGCCCCAGGGAGGGGGGCATGACTAACGTGTGGAAAAGAACCCTCATCATAAATGAGGCAGCTGCACGAACAGGGTCTCTACTGTGCTTGCTGTTTCCTCCAGTCACAGCCCTCCTGCCTCCATGGTTAGTCACCCAGCGAGGTCCGCCTCATCCTGCAGTCTGTTTGATGTCACTCCCTCCAAGAAGCCACCCCAGATTCCCCCATCTGGGGTAGAGGCTAATGCTTATCTCTTCTGCTCCCCCACCAGACCATATGCCCAGACAGCATCACACCTGCTTGGACCACCAGGGCGTGGCTTGGAGTCTGGCTCAGGGGCACACAGACAGCAGCTGACAGAGGTGGAGGACGGAGATGACCAGGCCCAGCCCCGTCCCTGGGAAGCAAGTGCATGCAGTTGGTCCTGATGTCTGTGATGCCTCCGTGGGGCACCCTCACCCCCGACTCACCCCTAGAAACCCATCTTTGCTCTTGGTCATGGTCTCCGGGAGCAGAGGCTGGAACCGGGCTTCTATGGTGAGCGTCTCCTCACTGGGGTCAGGGGGCAGCTCCTCCTCCTCATAGCTGGATGCAGGGGTTGACCCTATGAGACATAGATGACTGGGGAGGCCCTGCTCTTAGGCTGCAGGTCCTCACCTTTCTCAGGACATCCACATTAACAATCACCCAAGTAACAGCAAATGCATCGTCCTTGAGTCTTGCAATAGCTCTGGGAGGCAGGTAATAACATTATGACCAACTCTATTTTACAAACAAGAAAGCAGAAGCTCAGAGAGGTGAAATCACTTTCCCAGGGTCACACAGGTCAGGGGGGAATCAGGATTCAAACCCAGGCCTATTTTACTCTAAACCCACAATCAACCATGACCCTTTCCTGGGTCTTCTGGGACTGAGGACTCAGTCAAGGGAATCAGAGCAAGAAACAGAACCAGGTTGCCTCTGGTGTGAGCACTGGTTTGGGAGTGCGTGAGGAGACCTGTTTCTCCCTTCTTTTTTGGGTGGCCCACCAACCCATCTGTGTAAGGAAGGTCTGGTAGTAGCTGAACCTGCCAGCCTGGAGCCTTTTTTTTTTTTTGAGTCGGAGTCACTCTGTTGCCCAGGTTGGAGTGCCGTGGCATGCTCAGGCCACTGCAGCCTCGACCTGCTGGGCTCAGGTGATCCTTCTGCCTCACCTTTCCAAGTAGCTGGAACCACAGGCGCGCACCACCATGCCAGGCTAATTTTCTGATTTATTGTAGAGATGAGGGCTTACCAAGTTGCCTAGGCTGGGCTTGAACCCCTGGACTCGGGCAATCCTCTCACCTCTGCCTCTCAAAGTGCTAGGGATTACAGGCGTGAGCCACCACGCCTGGCTTGGAGTCTTTCAAGTATGCAAGGAGTCATTATGAAGGCTTGAGGGAGAAATGAGCCCATTTCAAAAATGATGACTAAACCACACTGATCACAGAATAAAGCAGGGTGGGTCTTGTTCTGTCTGATCCCAGGACAGGGTGGTGGCACAGAGTCCATGCCTGGTATTTGCTGATTGACTGACTGGCTGGGCTGAATGGATGCATTAGAAGCAGTTTTCAATCAGCAGAGCTCAGGATGACCCAGGATGCCTCTTTCAACTACAGATGTCCAGAACCCACCTCAGACCTACTGAATCAGAATCCTAAGGGGCTAGTATCAGAAAACCGCCTTTGCAATGAACACTCCCCAGCTGCTCCTGATGCAAATCCCCATTCTAAGGAATCGCTGTTATTTCTGCATTTGTACGTCAATGCCACTTTCCAAACAGCAATCTGGAGACCTCAGAGGCAAGGAGCAATAGGAACATGCAGGGTCATTAGTCAGCCTTGTTTACCCAATTATTTTACTGCTATCACAAATATTAGTAATAATACTCAGCATCTTATAGCTTTTTGGCTTTTTTTTTTTTTTGAGTCGGAGTCTCACTCTGTCGCCCAGACTGGAGTGCAGTGGCCACTCCCAGCCACTGCAGCCTCAACCTGCTGGGCTCCGGAGATCCTTCCAACTCAGCCTTCCGAGTAGCTGGAACTACAGGTGCACGCTACCACGCCCGGCTAATTTTTTGATTTATTGTAGAGATGAGGTCTCG